AAAACAGAATAAATGGTATGTGCTAGAAAAACATGGAGTGACCCTGTCTGTGCCACTTGGTTTCATGTCTAAATCAATCATTAGTCTTGCTCTTGTGTGCACTTTTGTACTGAACTGGTGTCCTGTACACCGAAAGTGTGAGTTTTGACAGGTCACAGAAGGGCACAAATGAGAAAGTTGGTGTGAAGTGGACAAGAAAACGGAAAAAGTAGCAGCAGAAACAGAAAATAAAAAAAAAGAAATGAAAGAAGGAACTAAAGTTCAGAAAACTGAGCAGCTGTCAAAAATGAGGTATTATTATTAGGAAGCTCATCCGTACCATGTTGTTACACTTGATTGGCCCTCCTTTTATACCAATTTCTTTCTTTGATCAATCAATCAATCAATCAATCAAATTTTATTTGTATAGCACATTTCAGCAGCAAGGCATTTCAGGGTGCTTTACATAATTAAAAACAAAATAAAAACAGCATGTGAAGCAGCACAGTAACAATAGAACAGTATTAACAAGCTTCGTATCTACATGAGGATTTACCCTTATGGGGTCTCCTTGAACAGAGAGGAACACCTCTTCTTCCCTGAGTACAGATTTTTAGTCAAAACGCTGTTTAAGAAGGATACTCAAGGATACTTTGATGACTGCTGGCTCTGTCAGCAACAGAGATGCAGCTTTCTGAGCCACCCAAAGTGTGACTGCCTCCTGTGGTGCAACACGCAGCAACACAGTGGCCGGGAACCAGTCAGCTCCTGTCCGTAGTGGTTAGGTCTGCATGTGGTTTCAAGGCAGCTACTGCTGCCATTTTAGCTTGAAACTGCCAGAGATTTTATGGAATGCGGCTACGGCACGCACAAAGCCAGAGATCATTATGTCCTTGGGTGGAGAAGATGTAAAGAATGTAAAAATATTTCTCACGACTTACTCAAGATAAGGATTCATGAAAAATGTTTGCTGCCTTAATTGTCTTTCATGGACTAGGCTCGATCCTCTGTTGTTGTTTTTCCTATTTATTTCAGAACTAGAAAGCATTTACAGGGCATTTATGTGAAGCAATGTCACGGAAAACTAAACTGGCATGTTGTGTAATAAACGGAGAGCGCTGGCTATGCCTGTCAGCTCTGCTCATTACGGCCTGCTGGGTGTCCCCACATCTGCAAAGATGTCAGCATGTCCTCTGTGTTTAGTTTGCTTGATTGTCCTCTGCTGGTTCATGTGGGTTCTGGAGAGGCACTGAATCACCCCAGAATAAAACGCCTTGCACACTGAGTAGTCCATGGTCTTGTGATTGAGTGGGAGGTCCTGTTTTTTTTTTTTTTTTTTACAAAGTGCAGGAAGTTGGTCTTTCAAGGCTCAGTGCTAAGTTGTGGATGTGGGTGTTTTCCCTCTGTTGGATGTGAATCTTGAAGTCAAAACAATTCTTTTTGATTAAGTCATGGTGGTCACAAGAATGTGAGCCTCCAATCAGCTCTGGGAATGTAAACAATCTGGGGCACTATGAGGCATCTGAAATTAAGAAATGAACAAATTAAATAGCTTGAATATTATGCGCTCCTCCTCCTTTTTTTTTCCCCCTCAAACTTACAGCTAGATAACATTCTCCATCCGGGAAGAGCTAATCCTTCAGCCTGGATATTTGCCAACAATTCAGTTGTGCCTTCTTCCCCCCAAGGATATCTGCTGCTGAAGGACTTCCTGGCTGTAATATCAGATTTTTCTCAGACTGAGAGCAGCTTTGAATTCATCCTTCTCCCGGCTTCCATTTTTAATTTTTAAAAAAAAAAAAAAAAAAAAAAAAAAAGCAAGGACAGCTCTCTTAGCCACGCTCACATTTTGAGCAATGACTACGCCAACTGTTCCAGCTAAACTCCTCCTCAGACACGAGCTGCAGGCCAATGCCAGTTTTACGGCCATGTTGACTTTGGAAGATGACGAGAGAAAAAGACAGAGACAGACTTCCAAGGCTTTTTGGCTTTACTACTTGGAGAATGTCGGAGGGTTTACCTTGGGCTGTGACCAAATGTTCCTAGTGGTCAGCAGACTTCTGGAAGAATGAAACAATAGCTGCTTGTTTATAGTTATGTTTCAGCAACCAGGTTTTCTGGCATGTTTCATAAAATCTTTTTTCAGTTATTTTAACTTTTTTTTTTTTGCTTCTGTATGAAAACAGTGCTGCAACTTATACTATGGACATTGAGCAAATCCGGTGTTTTTTGTGCTGTCAAGATTTTTCAGCTGGCTTCTTACTTTTTATATTTAGTGTCGGATATATAGAGTGTAAGATTGCAGAAAAGGGCAAGTAACCGTCATAGCGTCATTACTTGTAAATGTTTAAGTATGCACAATATTGGAGATGTAAGAGTTGGATGAAAAAGGGTTAAAGCAGTTTTTTTTTTTTTTTTTTAGGTTCCTTCATTATCTGGATGGGGAAAAAAATGTCCTGAACAATGAAAAATGTCCATCATCTGCAAACAAATGTAGACCAGGACAACTGGCTTGCTTGTAAATGAATTCCCAGCCTGTTTATTTCTCTAACCTTCAAGTAGAGATGCTCCCTCTGATCTGCTTCACATCAGGGGTCCTGCTGTTTACACCAATGGCAAAAGTAATTAAATTCCAGTTAAATTTGCCTGGAGCAAGATGGCGGCTGTTGTCCTAACAACAAGTCTGCTGAGGCTCAGTTAATGGTGTCACATTTGCATTTCCCTAATGTTGGTACCCTGATGGATTTTAAAGATAAAGTATTTGATGCGTCTTTACCGGATTCACACTTAGCATTAGACTCTGCTGGCATGAGATTTTCATGCTATGATAACCTTTAGTTAAATAAGTTCACAGAAACAAAACTGTGTGACATGACGTAATGCTTTGATTGACTGCTACAAACAATATTAACTAATTCAGGTGTAATGCTGGTACATCTATGATATTTATTTATGTTATTTTTGATTTATGTACTTTTTCTTAATTAAAAAAAATGGAGAATAAATCCCCACTAAATCTATCACTTTTTAAATGCCAATTTTTTTTTGTTGCTGTTGTTTTGCTTTTTGCATATTTATAACAAACTTTGAAACTCGGATCTCTGAAAAAATCCCTTGCAAAAATCCAACTGCTGATTGCAGCTTGTGTGGCCAAAGTATGAGCGTTCATTCTTCAGATGCATCTACTTGCCCCCTGAGCCATGTGTGAGAACACTGCATGGGTTTCTGGATAATTTTGCTAAAGAGGGGAAAAAAATGCATGTAAGCGGTACCAAATGTGTATCCTGTAGGAAGGTGCAATACCGCCACATCATCCACTACTATTGCCAAAAATAATTACCACAATGGTAGAATGTTTTCAGTCAAACCAGAGGAAACATAATAAATTAAAGCACAAAAAGCCAGGCTTGTTTCATAAGGTTGTGGCCGAACATTTGGAACACAGCGCCCGATTCCTTTGCGTCACAAAACCGAGTCCTTCATTTTATTTATGCACTTTGTGAAGTCTTTCATGTCGAGAACAGTGGATTAGTGCGACTGCTGGTCTGGTATGTGCCATAACTGAGTGAGATTATATCCCTGGAAGACAAAATTAGTGCCCATTTCTGCTCCCGGATCAACAATCAAATTCTGTCTCAAACAGAGCAGGTTGACCCTCTTCTTCTGTCAGATCTTCATTGTATTTAATTAAATAAATCCTTAAATTAAACTGCTTGATGGATGTTTTCCCTATTCACCAGACCGCCTGCCTAACCCTGGTGGTAGTTTTCCACGTTGCTTCAGCCAGCTTCTGAAGAGAGATACCAGATTAGCAGAACTAGAGCGCGAAGCCACTGAGGGTCATGCATCATTTAGGATAAAATTCTAATACCTGCGCGAGGTTAAGCATTCCAGAAAAAGATTAACTTGCAGAATAGCTTAATCTTTGCTTTGTTCTTTTAATGACTTTGTTGCATTTAGAACTTTTCTTCTCCCAGAATATCGTAATAATAGACTTGGTCCCGTTATTTTTTTTGTTCTGTAAGCTTGAAATTGAATTTTGGTTGCAGTAACTCGGACCGCAGTTTACATTCACATGCTGGTTTTGACCCCTGCTGACCTGTGTGTGAGGTTTTCCTTCCGCCGCTGCAGAGAGTCACAGACAACACTTCCCATCATGACATGGACTAAAACGAGCCTGTGGTGCAGTAAAATGCCAATCTGAAACAGATGTGGATTCAAAATGCCATGGATGTCCTTTTTTTCCTCCTTCTTCTTTTTCCAAAGAGTAACAACACAAGTAAGAGGGTGATCTGGTGTAGGGAGTGAAAAAAAAAAAAAAAACACTGTTACCATGGCTCTGTCAGTGTCCCAGTAATTAATAATAATTTAGGTTTTTCACATTCATTTGGTTTCAGCTCCGTAGCTGCGATTTTAAACATTTGCAACAAGTAGAGAGGACAAAAAAAAAGGATGCTTTTGCAGGAATGCGCAAGCAACCTGAAATGCAAACTAGATCAGAATGAGAACAATGCGAATGCAGGAAATGACAGGAAGAGGTGAGGCTGGATGGTGGGGTGGTAGAATTACAAAGCTGCAGCCGCTGGCAGACGGCCTGATGCTGAGGTTTGTTGTGCACCTTCTGTGGTCTTTGGGCCTCGTCATGGGAATGCGTACACAGTCATTAGGCTCTGATAGATGTGTGCTGAGCTGCTTTAAACCACCAAAAGGGATTAAGATTGATGTGAAGTGAGAATTAAAGGATTATATTTAAGGCTGCAAGCTTCCTCCTCCTTCAACAAAAAAAAAAATAATAATAATAATGATAAATTATTATTATTATTTTTGTACTTCCCTATTAGGTTTTGAGGAAATGGCAATCAACTATTGGATATCACTTTGCTCACTGGTCAGAGGAAAAAAGTGAATATTAAAGTAGAGCTTTCTGCTAGGATCCTATATTTTAATGGTAATATTTCACTGTGAAATTAGTGTTTTTACTCACCTTTCCATTTGTCTATTTTTATTTTTAATCCCAATAGCTGGCAGGCCTGGAGCGGGACACAAAACATGGCTGAACCACGGCGGGAAAGCACCAGCAGCCTGCAGAGGAAGAAACCTCCCTGGCTCCGACTGGACATTCCCACGGCTCAGATGTCACTAGACGAGCCTCCGACTTTTGTTCAGGTACTCCCTCTCTCTCTCTCTCTGTCTGTCTCTCTCTCTCTCTCTCTGTCTGTCTCTCTCTCTCTTCCACTCGCGAAATGCCTCTCTCAGTATTTATCACCCTTGTCATTTGCTGTACGGCATGATTTGTGTTCGCACTTCTCTGACGTATCTTTTTCTTGTGTAGCCGGTGAGGCGGCAGGGGTTCCTGCGCAGTATCAGCATGCCGGTGGAGACTTCTCACCTCCAGTCTCCGCCGCGCGACATCTTTGACACCCGGCGGCCTGTATTACAACGCCAGTCATCCATTACTCAGACCATAAAGAGGTAAGAGAAGGCGATAAGATGAATCTAGATATATTTCGTCGTACCTCATTGGTATGAACACAAAGGAACAATATCTTTGCCTTTAATATTACGAAATTGTGCATGGATGTCTCGCAGAGCATTAGACTCCAGAGTATGTTTTTGCTTTTTATGTCATTATCAAATGCAATATTTATGAGCAAATGTTTATTATAAGATAAAATAGAGGTATTATTTCCCTTTTGCCCTGTAGACTTGTAAAACATCAACTTTTCATGACTTTTGCAGTGTTTCTTCTTTCCCTTTTTCTAACTTTCCAAACACTTGGTGATTAACATCTTAATGCAATCTGACCACACTTCTTGCTTTGCTCTCTTTGCATGAAGACGGCCATAGCACTCCCAAGGTGCATTTGTTTGTTTGGTTTGTTTT